AAGCCGCAACATCCAATAATTGATTAATTTTCTTAAATAGAAAAGTGGTCGAAATTTCAAAATTATATTTAAGAACAATTTAAATTTCACTGTCTAAATGCTTCTGCCACTTTAAATATTAAATAAAAGTCTCCCGGCAGAGTTGTTTTTAAATATCTAATTGATATCACAGTATTATATAGAACATTCCCCCCTACCCCGTCTTCTGCCCGAATCTTTGCTTATTCAGACTTTGTATACCTAGCTTAAAATAAGCCTTAATGCAAAATTCAAACCTGACGTTTTTATGCATCATGAATTTTATTCTCGACTTGATGCCAATCACCCTTGTTTTTTTTTTTATATATATATATATATGTACTTAGATCACTTTCCGAAATCTAGAGAGAGCAATGGAAGTCTTATTTTTCAGTACTGCTATTATCGACTAACATTTGTCGTCAAAACATTTTAGTTTAGAATGTTAAATTTTAGTCTATCTTTAACTAAAATTTAAGTCCTTGAGAATTTTATAATAAGTCTTAAAAAGTCCTTGAAAAGTACTTGAATTTTATTTTTATAGTAGAGCATGAACCCTGTCAAAGCAAAACATATTAGTTGCATTTTGAAATTTCTTTATACAAAACATAGTCTCTGTTACAAAACATTTTAAAGGAAAACTACAATTGTAAAATATCACAAATTCCTAAATATGTAACATTTTAAATCATAATGACAACTATTGTTAAATAGTGTTGTTATAGCATAAATGCAAATAAAATATTACAAACTTTTAATTTTAAAATTTAATTAGCTTTAATCCCAAGAATTGAAGCAATTTTTAGTAATGTTCGACTATCACCCAGTTCATGAACTTACACCTTAGTTTGATGTTTGTATAATTGATTTTAAGTGTAACAAAAATATTTTTTTTAAATTTCTTTGAAGTTTTTTTTTTTTTATTAATGCAAAGTAAAATTAGTAAACTATAATAAAATATATTTTGATGGATAGTTTTACAAATTCTTTTATGATTAGAACCTTTCCAAAGTTCAAAAATTATATCATTGATTTACCATTTTGCACCTCTGTGGATTTCAGCTATGTGTGGAATAAAAAATTGTTAAATTGTACCTTAAAATCTGAAATGCTTGTTCAAATCAGTTGTTCAATCACTTTAATCATAACTTTCAATAATTTAGCATAACATTGATGATAATAATACTCCTAATTTAACAATAATAACATTATTTGTTTTCTGCTCCATATTGTGTTGAACTTTGCCTGCTCTTTATTGTGTTAACAGGTTCCATTACAAGTTTGGAGTTTATTGATTCATACCTTATAAGTTCTAGTGAAGATGCAACTATCTGTATTTGGTCAACAAACAACTGGCAATGTGTAAAAACTCTTGGTGGACACAAGTAAGAAAGACTATGCAAATTAATTATGTATTTCATAATTTGTAACTTTGTCTCATTAAATGGCTATGATATTTTAATTAATAATTAGTAAATATAATTTTTGAAATACCCTGCTGCATGTTTATCAGGAAACATAAGAAACAGTTATTCTGTCCCAATAATCTTGATTTCAGTTTGTTTTATATGTATTAGCTCGTTTTCAAACTATACTCAAGTTATGAAACAATTCTCTTTATTGTTATATCCTAACCAAAAAGTGCAGAAAAAATATTAAGTTGTTGTAGAAGAATTTTTCTTATCCACAATGTATATTATTGAACAAGAGTACTTAATTGAATATTTTAGAACACCTTTACTGAATTATCTAAATTTTATTGAATTGTATTTATTGATATCTTTTATTTATTTTAAGGAAACTAATTATGAAGATCTGGTAATATTCATAATATTGGTTTTTGTTAAGAATTCGTGTTTGCTTATTGATTAACTTTTACGAAATATTATTATACTATAGAGTTATCTTGAATCAATAAGTAAGGTGAACAGAGATGTATCTACAGTTTGTGCAGCCTCAGCAAAGCAAAACATATTAGCTGCAATGTTGAATTTCTTTTAAAAAAACATATTCTCCATAAAAAAAATAAAAACTTTAAAAAAATTGAAAAAGAAAGTGAAAATTTAATTCTTCATGTTGAAAGTTATTTTTATGCTGCTTTTAGATTTACTTTTTTTAAAAATCTGATTCTTATGATTACAAGAGCACAAAATTCTAAAAATTTTGCGTTCTTGAAATTATTTCTTATAAATGTTTATGGGTGTGCATAAAAATGATGAATCTCTCTAAGTGATTGAAAAAGGCAAAATTTTAGCATTGATTTATATATCAGTTTGAAGAAATATTGATCTAATCTAAGCTTTGATTTGTTTCTACTGGCCGAACAAATATGTTTGCATGCTACATTTGAAAATAAGTACCTTCATACAATAATCAGGGGTCTGTCCAGGCCGAATTTTCTTCCGTTTAGCGGTACCTTCACAAATTCAATTTTAGGAAAAACGGTAGTTTCACAAATTCAACTTTAGGAAAAACGGTAGTTTCACAAAATACTTTTCTTAAAATTTTATTTTTGTATCCCTTAAGACACTATAAATTCATATTTTTACCATATTTTTGTGTTGATTTTTTAATATAATTTTTAATTTTTCACAAATTATGTCTAAATTTTCACAAAATAGGTACCTTTCAGAAAAACCTAGACAGACCCCTGATAATGATAAAATATGGGTACTCTTCAATTTCCAGACCAAATATGTGCTCAGATATGCAAGCTTGAATATATGATATTTGAAAACTATTCACACTCAAATGGTTAAAAAGAATATTTTTGTATTTCCATGTTTTCTAATATTCCATTTTCTCCTTCCTTGTTATTCATAAATCGGAAGTGTAATTTGAGTCATTATGAAATTGAGTTTCTTGTTATTTATTATATTAAAAAAATATCTTAATAGGAAATTTCTATTGTTTTTAATATTTAATAGGAAATCTGTTAATTGTATCTCAATTCATCCGAGTGGAAAGTTGGCTTTGTCAGTTTCGAAAGATAAAACTGTGAGAACATGGAACTTAATTAATGGTCGATCAGCCTATGCCACAAATATTAAAAAAGGTAAAATAGTGTGTTTATTTTTTACAATATTGTTGGAGCTAAATTTTATTTATAAAAAATTTGCTTTAACTTTAATTTAATTTTACAGTTGCAGAAATTGTCAAATGGACACCTGATGGATCGCAGTTTGTAGTGGCTTGCAATAATGCCCTTGATATTTATTCTGTTGGGGTATGTATTCATTTGAGTATTTATGACTTTGAAATTTCTGGAGACTGTTAGAATTTACTGGGTTAAATAAAATATTCTCTTAATTTTCATGTTTTTCTAAACGCTCTTAAAAATTATGAAAATTCTTGAAAAATCCCCGTCTGATTATGGTTTTCATATAAATTATTTTTTGCTGAAGTATTTGAATCATTATCACATCTTATTAATAAAATAAGTCTAAAATAGAATGTAAGAAATCTTTATTTTGTATAAATAGAAAAAAATTTATATATTTTATTAAAATCATATTTTTTGTAATTTTTAAGAATTGTTTTTAAAATTTAAAGTTTTGATTAGTTAAGTTTTAAAAATATAGTTATAACTGAAATACTTTTATGATTATTTCATTTGTGCGTGATTACATTTGTAGCGCTACATGTAAATGCTTGATTATATTATTTATGCTTGATTAATTGAAAATTGAATAGAAATGTTAGTCATGATTATCTACCAAAAAACAGATTAACAAACAAATAAAAAAAATTAATTTAATATTTTTTTATTTTTTAACATTTGAAATGACAAGACAAAGTGTTTCTTTATGCTTTACTTTTATTGTAGGCTCACAAATATTTCTGTGTAGAATTCCAACTGCATTGAATCTATTATTATTTTTTGAAACAAATAAACAAAACGCTTAGTAAGTTTCAAATATATTTTAAAACTATGGAAACCATTGAAAAAGTTTAAAATATCTTTTTATAATGCTTCATAGTAAAAAGAATTATTTGGGTCAAATGGGGATTTGAATCAAATTGGATTTTATTGACACAAGTCAATCTAGGAAGAAAAATTTCTTTATTGATCCTTATCGAAATTCTGACCTATGGATGGTATTTTCAATAGAAATGTAAACAATAACAATCTCGAGCTCGGCACCTACTCTAGTTTGCAGCTGCTTACTACATGTTATTCTGATAGGCGATGTTTTCAAACGGATAATTTTGTTTTCAATAAAAGAAATAAACTAGATAATTTCCGAGCTCAAATCTGCTGTATTTCGTAAGATATTAATGTTATTATGTAATTCTTTGAAGTTTGGAGTGAAAATTTGTTTTAGTTATTTTGTTATTTATTATTAAAAAAGGTGACATGGTTGCTAGATTTTGAATAACTCGCTTTTTTGGCAGTCTTGATTTGGCCTCTTTCCATTTGTTTATTACTGTTTGTTCCTGTTGCAAGTTGTGCACCATCTTTCTTTAGTGTTAACACTTTTAGTATTGTAAACAGTATTGTTAGCATTGTAAACATAAGTAATCAAATGCATTGTTTGCAAGAATCTCAAAACACAATGATGCCAAATGGCTTTAAAATACAACTGAAACAGTAACCCTCAAATTTAGGCAGTCCCAAACTTGCAGCGCTCCCTAGTGTAGAAAACACCATCCATAAATAAAGAGCTTTCGTAAAATATTGACCTCTAAAATTAGTTTTTTTTTATGAAATTCCTACTACAAACTGCTTATTTTTTTACATACATAATTAATGTTCTGTTTGTATTCTTATAACTTTGAAAACAATTATATATGAATAAGCCTCAAAAACTGCATTTAATCTATCTTATATTCCTATATAAATGTATTTTTTCATGTCACTTATATACTTTGTAGAAGTAAAATAATGGCAAAATTAATTTTCATAACATCTCAAACTCTTTCTTAAAAGATTCCTGAAATGTGACTCAGGCAGACTCTTCTAGATTGATGCTTGGTTAACACTTTTTTGTGATTATTTATTGCTTCAATATATAATCATAACATTATATAGCAACATATTTCGTTTCATTATTTTACAATAAAATAATTTTTTTAGATTATCTATATTTCCTATATTACTCTTTATAGTGATTAATTGAGATCATCAGAAATATATTGCATTTATAGCTGTTTTCACTTTATTTACAGGATGCTGCAGTTAGATTGACTATCAACTTTGAAACAAAAATTTGTGATTTTACTTTTATTAAAGTAAGTAACTTTTTTTTTAAGAAAAAAAAATTATTTATTCCATATTTATGCTTTTCAAATATTTTTTTATGAATTTCATATTTTTTTTAGGCAAGTATCATATTAGATTTTTATTATATTGATAATTGTAACAATGAATGTGTTGTTCCACAGTTGGTTTTAATGGGGTTTTTTTTTTCGTATTTAAAATCATAATCAGAATTGTAAAATATTCTAGTTTAATGTGTAACTAAGCCTCTTATATCCTATCCACTGCCTATCCACTTTTACAAATTTGTTTTATTTTATTAATGTTATTTTAAAAATTCATTTATTAAAAGTTGTTACTTCTCTAGTAGAAGAGTTTGTTTTGATGCATTTAATATTTTAACTTGAAGTTTCTTATAAAACCAACTTCCTCTGTGGAATTAAAGACAAAAAATCCTATTTATTCTGTAAATAAAATGCATACTTAAATATTTTAAAATACTTTTTATAAACAATGCAAAAATATTGTAGGTGAAGGAGTAAGCAAGGTAATACAATGCATTATATTGTTCATTTATTAATATTTTTCCTAAATAGTTATCCTTTTTTATATAAAGATGGGGGGGGGAGGAATATTGAATAATACATATTTTGATAATGTTTACAAAAAGGAAACATCATCCAACTTTCTGCTTTTGCTCAATCTTCTTAAATCAAATGATCTTTTTTTATTGATTTAAAAAAAAGAAGCAACTCTAGCAAAACTAGATAATTTTTTAGATAAAATAGATATTTTTCCGAATCTTATGATTGCTTACTAGGTTGTGGAAAGAAACAAATTTTCACAAAAGTATAAATCATGATTGTGATATTTAACTTGACTATTGAATAGAGGTTTTATTTAAATTATTTAAAACAAAGTTTAAAATCAGACAATCATTTTTTAATTTGATATTTTCATGTAAAGACTAAATTTTGCTTAATAAGTAGGTTTTTTCAAATACTTTATACATGCATATTTATGTTTCCTAAATATAAGAATAAGGTGTAATGTGTATTGCTTCATTACTAATAAAAGAAATGGTTATGAGAATAATTATTTCATCCATTTTTCTACCGCCTGAATGCTTAATGAATCGCATTATGATTAAGTTGCTGAAATGATTCTTTGTAAAATGTAAAGCATAATACCTTTAGTACACTGATTAGTTCTATCTTATGAATGAATGCATAATTAATGAATGGAATTTCAAAAGCATTATATGCATTCATGAAATGTAGTACATGATATGTTCATTCATATTTTGCAATGTGTGAATTCTTTACATGTCTTACAATATAGAAAAAATCTTCTTCTTTTATCTTTACATTTATTACTGTTAGCTTTTGAAAAAATAAATTTAATGAACATACAAAAATATCAATTAAGTTTGATGATTATGAATGAATTAACAATCAATATATACAATGTGCATTCATATTCCATTGATTAACAATTTCATTATATAATTTAATCTTATGTAATTTACAAAGTTTTTACTACATAAAGTATTAACAAACAAATATACAAATATTAAATAAAATATATTTTTAATACTCATTAAAATGTTAAATATAAACCAAATCTCAAGTGTCGTGACAATTTCATTAAACTAAGAATTCAAAATTTTAAACTCTCTTTATGTTTTTATTGAAATATTTAAACATAAAGAATTTCTGCTTTTTAGTCTCTAAGTGATTTTATAATTTTTATTGAATTTAAAATAAAAAAATTCTCCTTCTGTCATAAGAGAAGCAGTAAATAATTACATGAGATGTTTTGGCTTTCAACTGATATTCTAAATTATAGTTTTCTTCTAAATTATATTGTCGATGTTCTAAACATTGTCTTGAAACATAATTTATTTTTATTTTTTTGCCAAAGGCACATAAGATGAAGATTTATCTGAAATTTTGCAAGTATACAAATATAATCGAAAGCTTAAAATAAAATTGGCATATTTTGAACTGATATTTTCAAATACTCATTACAGACATTTTTATTTTTAATTGAAAAATTCATTTCCGCACTCTTGGTCTAAAAATATTATTTATCATATTCATTTTTAAATACTGGATATATATATATATCTGTTGATGTATTTATACCCTGAGGGGTTTGTGTAATGTGTATGCATTAGAGGGGAAATAAGCTTGTTTATTGAAAAAGGTTTTGGGCTCAGACTCACATCATAAAATCTACTACATACTACTTTTAAACAAAAGTTTGGCTGAGTTATTAAATTTAAAAATGCAAAATTTATATGGTATAAAAAATTGCAATGGTCTACTGCTCCTGTTTGATGCTTTTGCTTGTTTAGACATCAAAGGCTGAGTGACGCGATTACAAAATTTGCCCTTTATCAGACATTTATATCTTAGGCTGAGATATAAATTCTCGCTTTGATTACCAAAAGCGAGCCCAAACGGATCTTATATGCATCTGACACATAATTTGTTTAATAGATAAGTTATGTATTATAATTTAGCTGTATGTTTTTTTTTTTTTTAATCATGTACTCTTTTTTATGTGTTTATTCATTTATATTAAATTTTGCTTGTAGAAATTAGATTACTAAAATATGTTTTACTCATAAATTTGTTTAAAAAGTTACGAAGTTTAATTTATAAAACAATAAGTTGAGGGTTTGAATGAAAAGATAGTGTCATATCTTTCATTTCTTATCCTAGATTGTCATGATATATAATCAAAATCATTGTGAAAAATGTAATATTTCACATTAAGGTTCAAAAGTGTATATTTCACTGTTACACAGAAATCGACATTAAGTCCCGTAAGCACTTATATGTTTTTGAAATGGATGTTTTTATAAACTTACTTGCCTGTGTAGAGTCCTATTTAGAAATCATATTTTTCTTGCTTGAAAATTGTATTCACTCTTTTAGTGATCCTTTATATTTGCAATCCCATAGTGTGACTCATTTTTGAGTTAAAACTTGTGATATTTGCATAAATTAGCATTACATATGTTATAGGTTAAAAATGGCTGACCAAAATCAGTATTTTATTTTTCTGCTATAAAGTATTATTTTTAAGAGACTCTTATGCATATATTAAAATTATAAAAAAAAGTTGCATTATTATTGATTGCGCTATTAGTTAATAATTGTTTTTAAAATTAATAATTGCTTTTTATAGTTTTTTGTTTTTTTAATTGTTAGTATATATTCACAATACTTTTGTGCATTCATGATATAATCTCATGTTACAATGTCCATTTTCGGATGAAAGGGTTCATCAAACCGAGGATCAACTGTATCAATTGCTCTTACTTTAATATTTAATCTTTTAATATCTGTCTTGTATTTTTTTTTTTTTTTTTTTTTTTTTTTTTTTTTTTTTTTTTTTAAGGTTTTTATGATTTTGCATATTTCTTATTCAATATACAATTATATTTTCAGCTTTTGAGAAGTTTAAAAAAACACCAACAATTCACAGAGTTTTTTTTTTAGTTTTTTTTTGTCACTTTAGTTCTATTCTGCAGTTAAATAATGTGCTTAAAAATTTCTGCATGAAAAATAGGTTTAGTAACTGCTCTCCCAAATGTCAAATAAAGATGAAAAAAAAAAACGAAAAAAAATGCTTTTTTTTTTATTATGATGGACTAACATTTAAATATGCTTAATGTATTGATTTTAATTTGTCTATAGATTGACAAATGATAGGAAAAGCTAAATTTCTTCCAAATTTTGTATCTGTAAACTTTAAGCATTTAAAAAAAAGGAAGAATTGTAGTTCCATTGTATTGTAACTATAAACAATTAAATATGTTTGATTTATTCATTTAAGTTTATTTACAATATAACAGTTGATATCAGAGTTGGCCGTCGATTACTGTAATCGATTACAACTGTAATTGATTACAGATAATTACAGCTATGTAATTTACTTGTAATCACGATTACAAGTAATCAAAATTTTTGATTACATCAGAGTGGAGCAAAAATGTAATCGATTACATTTTTCAATAACAGTAATAAATTACTTGTAATCATGATTACAAATTTTGATTACAGCTGTAATCATGATTACATAGTCGATTACAATAATCAATTACTTGTAATCGTGATTACAACTTTCAAAAGATTTTGATTACAGCCGTAATCATGATTACAATTTTGATTACAGTAATCAATTACTTGTAATCATGATTCCAAGTAATTGCGATTACAAGTAATCACAACAAAAGCGATTACGGGTAATTATGATTGCAAGTAATCAAAATATATGATTACATGTAATTGTGATTACTTGTAATCAAACTATACGATTACAAGTTATTACGATTGTATACTATATGCAAATTTATTATGTAAGTATGCATGAGTTTACATATTTTTATGTACATAGAATGTACGCATGCATGAACGTATAATTTGCGATTCCTATATATACAATGTATGCACAAGCGTTGTTTGTACCTACAATATTCATAATTATATTGTAATATACTTAATGCAATGCGCATATGCTTAGTACGTATAATTATGCATTTATGATACATGTACACATGTATGTTAGTTTATACAAAAAGGCAGTGTTTTGTATCTTTGTATACATAGATAATATATGTATGAAATTATATGAAAATAATGTTTATGCGTTTGCATGCTTTTATGTACTTAAGTACATACATTGTATAAATTTGCGATAATAGCACGTATATACAATGTACGTATGTATATAAAATTTTACGTATTTACGTACAATATGTAAGAATGTTATTTAAAGGTGCAATATATGCACATTTATATGTACATTGATATATGTACACGCAAAGTATGTACTTATGTACAACATACGTATGTACTTGTATAACTACATACTTTGTTAATACTTATGCATATGTGATGTATGGATGTACAAAAAAATAGTTATATGCACAATGTACGCATGTACATACAATGTATACATGTACATAATTACAAGTAATGTATAAATACATGCGTACATTTAAATATATGTAATTACAATACACACATACATTGTGCATACATTAAAAAAATGTATAAGTAAAGTTAATAAAGTTTGCTTTAAAATGTATTCTAAGGCATATAAAACTCGACCTCATATTTTTTAGAAAGTGAACGATAATTTTGTTTTAAATTTCTAAATATTATTTCCACACATAAAATTTACCGTTTTTTTTTACCATTTAAAAAATTTCTATGAATCATGCATTATGTTATAAAATAAAAATAAATCTGCATTGTCAAACATTTCATGAAAATACCTGAAAATAATTTTTTATTCGAAGAATTTCAAAATGATATAGAACAATTAAAGCTGAAAACTAAATTTAAATATTGTTTGATTTTGTCATTTAACTTGCTTGAGTCATTAAAAGTTAACTTACATACATTTTATTTGTTGCATTGTACACATATTTAGACATAAATGTAATATGTATATGTGTAATGTATGTACGCATGTACAATGTATGTACATACATCCATGTATTGTACATGCATATATAGTACATATGGATATGCATACATGGAACATTCGTGCATTGCACATGTGTGGATTCGGAGCTAATAGAGTCAAGTGGACTGTAACGTTTGGTAACTTTTTATTGAATGAGAAAAGAACGCTAGAAAGCTACGCTTGGCGCATTACAATCTCGCCAATTAGGGCGCGGACAGTAATCACGATTATAAGTAATTGATTACTGTAATTAATATTGTAATCATGATTACAGCTGTAATCAAAATTTTTGAAAATTGTAATCATGATTACAAGTAATTGATTACTGTAATAAAAAAATGTAATCGATTACATTTTTGGCCAACTCTGGTTGATATCCTCCTTTTTGTTGTGAAATATTTTTATAATAGAAAATTATAAGGCACAGCTCAAAATTTTAAAACTATGAATTTCAAGTAATAGGAACAGAAGAATAGATGAAGTGAAATTTTTATTGTAATATTCAACAATTATATTTGTCTGATTCATTTTTTTTTACGTATTTGTTTGTAGGATGACATAATTGCTGTTGGTGGAGAAAATGAATCTATTCACTTTTATGATCTGAATTCTGGAAATTTATGTCATACAATAAATGCTCATACTAATAGGTATAGTGAAAGTTTATGTTATTCAATCATCTCTCATACTTAAAGGTATAGGAAAAGTTTATGTTATTCCATAAATGTATATTTTAGTAGGTATATTAAAATTTTATGCTTTAAAATGTAACAATTGAGAAATGCTCTATTTACCACAGAACATAAGAAATATCTACAAAAAGCCTTTAGCCTATCTTTTTAAATTTATCAAAGTTTGATGACTTTGAATCATGCAAGTGGTTTAACTCAAGTGCACAATATGAAATATCAAATGTTTTACCAAATATTCTTTTCATTAATTTGAATACAAAATACTGGGGAAATTTAATTTATCATTATAATTTATCAAAATTATTGAAGTACATAAATCTTTATCAATAGAAATGTCACAAATGAAAAATAAAATTTAGAATGATGAATTTAATGTGCCATCAGAATTCAAGACACTAAAAAGGTTTAATTTTTTTTTTTTTTAATATTTTTAAAAAAGTCAACTTTTTAAAATTTATATTGAATTACTTCTATTTTTTTAAAGATACTTTGAGAAATTTTATTCTACACTTGATTGAATTATTTAAATATAATTACAAGTGAAATATCATTAAATCTTGACAGTTTATTTAAAATTGTATTAATCTATTCATGGTCACTGTTTTATGGTAAATAAATGCAAGATTCAAAATTATTGAAGATGGAAAAGTATCATTATTAATAACTGAAGAACAGGCTAAAATAAACCACAAAATTTTCTATTTTTTTTCTTTTTCTAATCAACTTTTGAAATGATAAAATAAATGTAGATACCATATGCCTTAATGGTAAGTTGACAAAATATATCAGTATAGTATAACTATTTAATTACATTATTACACCAATTTTATATATATATAAAATCACACTTTAAGAAAATATTTGAATTTATCATGATGCTATATTTTTAATACCATACAGAATAATTTCATTTTAAAGTATATACTTGAATTTTCAAATCTATCAAACCTGGAATTGGCAGAATTTTTTAAAACAGTCATATTTCTTTGTAAAATTTTCCATATTCAATAGCTACTTTTTCTGAAGATTAAAAAAATTGAACTTAAGTTTCACACTGTTCTTTATAATCATTCTGAAAAATTCAAATTTTAAAATGGCTCTTCAAAAGTGCTGTGCAAGCATATTACAAACGAAGTACTAATGTAATTTTATGAAATGAATTTTTAATAAATTTTATAATTATGAAAATCAATAAAGAAATCTTAAAATAATTTATATTTAAATGCTTTGTAAATTTTTTGAATAGATGATTTCTCTCTATTATTGATGATATTATTTGATGCAAATATACAAATATTATTTGATGCAAATCAATGATTTTTTTGCTTTTGTTCCGCAATCAATTTTTCTACTCCTATCTATCATTTCTACTTATCCAACAAAAACAAGATTAAAAAACAGATTATTTTTTATTTACTGATTGTTTTTTATTTTTTTCATTGCGGAGCAATTTTTTTTCAAATGCTATAGCAGTTTATTCTTTTTTTTCTCACCTTTATTAAACTATCAAACATTTTAAAAATAATATGGTTTGTTGACATTCTTTTCAGAATCAAAGCATTGAAATGCGTTTCAGCTATTGATGAAAAATTTCTAGTTTCTGCCTCTAGCAATGGATGTATTAGGGTGTGGCATATTACGGAAGATAAGGTATGATTTGGAAGTTTGCTTACACACTTCTTTATATAATATGTATATTATATAAAGAAGTGTGTAAAATCTAGCAATTTTTTTTATTTTTTACCAATATCTTTAATTTAAAAATGTGTAGAGGTATCATCTAAGGCAGTGTTTCCCAAACTTATGACTTTTTTGTACCCTTTCTAAATTTTTCGTAATGCTGTGTAACACTAATAAAAAAATGAATGTATTTTTTTAAAAATATGTTTATTTTTCTTTTTTGGTACAAAGTTTTGTGGATACTAACCAGCGATCCATATTCTACGTTAAATATAAGAATTATATTTCATAAAAATAATCAAAATAAGTAGAATTTATTACAAACCTTTGCTATAAAAAAATTGCACAAAAGTTAAAAATCACAACTGGCTGTTGACACCACTAATTTATTAACTGTTAACTCTGCAAAAAGTAGCCAATAGAAAAATTCGTAATCGTAAATTTTCATGACTAGCTTTGTTTTTAAATAAATTTTTTGAAATTTTTGTTTGTTGCAAGATATTTCGCATAAGAACGCATACCCCCACTAAACTGTTCTCGTACCCCTGGGAGTACATGTACCACACTTTGGGAAACACTGATCTAAGGAATGTGTAAGGTAAAAAATGCAAAATGTGTGAAGATCTACAGATTTGAGTCGCCAAAAAATTTTAGTTGGTACCTTTATTTTCTTTTTGAACTGCAAGCTGCATTTTTAAGTTTTCACCTGCAACCTTTTTTTTGCCTGACAAGGCTAAAAAAAGCAACTATTTTCAAAAGAAGCAGACTATTGGGAAACTTTTCTGTGCTCCTGGTGATGTTTTTTTAGTATAAATAAGGTCTATCTGAATGAGTTGAATCTAAATTGGTGTTTGTCATTTCTAAATTTAATAATAACTATTTGTATCACTACTTTTTTTTTACTGTAAATGTGTCTGTATTAATTCATCATCTTTTTCTTAGGAGTCTTTAAGACTTAGAAAAATAGCAAAAGCTCAGACTGGAAATAGATTGACATCTATGACTGTGATGCTAAAAAATTAAAAACTGTTCAAGGTATGTTTCAAACTTTGTATATAACTCTCAATTCTCATGCACAAAATATTCACTATTTACAAAAGTTCTTTCTGTACTTTTCTAAATTATTTGTTTATATTTACTGCATACCTTTTAAATTTCTTAATTTAAAAAATCTAATGGATCTGTTTCTACCTGTTTCTTTCCTAATGGTAAAATTATATGAAAAACAGGTACAGTGTAAAGTCGCGTATCCGGAATCGGTGGGACTTCCAGAAGTCCGTATAATAGATTTTTCCGTATAATAGACCCCCAAGGTAAACAAAGCTTAAAATGATTTAATAAACGATCTGAATCTAAGAAGCAAAAAATAAATAAACGTTATTTTTAAGGGGAACAATGTTTTAGCATTAGAATATCTAAATCAAATATAAAATATTAGAAAAAAAATATTATTGCTGAAAATATGGAAAACAAAAAAAATTTAACAGTTATGAAAATATTAATCCGCCATTTTGAACTAGAACGATTCAAGCAGGAAGGGGAAATTCATGTCATTCTGGAACAAAGCTTAAAATGATCTAAATCTAAGAAGCAAAAAATAAATAAACATTATTTTTAAGGGGAATAATGTTTTAGTATTAGAATATCTAATCAATAAAATATGAAATATTAGAAAAAAAATATTATTGCTTAAAATATAGAAAACGAAAAAAAATTGACATATGAAAATAATAATCCGCCATTTTTAACTAGAATGATTCAAGCAAGAAAGGGAAATTCCCGTCATTCATTAAGGTGGGTAGGTGGAGGAGAAAAATTCATTTCCTCCTTATTTGTGAAAGAAAATAAGTGTAAAGAGGAGATCATTTAAGTTGAGGGTGGGGAAGTAACAAATTATTGTTTTCTCTCCAATCATTGGCTATCAATCAAGCATAAAGGCGGGACACGCTGATCGGGTTCTCTTTATTTTTTCTTTTATGACTGAAAGAATCTGCTAAAGAAAGAATGTTACCCCCTTTTCCCCCCGCCTCCTAAATATTACATGGTATGGGGAAGAACGAATGTTTTGTTTCTCAAGGACGTGTATCCTTTTAGACCTATTCAAATTTTCCATTTTGACTCCCCCTCCACCTTAACGCTTGCCCCGTTTACCCTTTTCCACAGTATTTCTTCTTTCAATAAAAAGGTTCCAGGAAATGCCTCTTTTACTAGCCACCTGCATGGGAAAGGAGGGGGGAGGGGACTCAGTTGCGGTCTTTTGAAAACAAATCTCCCTCTTTTTCCTACATTCCAAGGGAGGAGCGTCACTAACGGTCACTCAATGGTCTTGGTAGATCTTCACTTCCCCTTTCTGGTGATTTATGGGTTTGATGCATGAATCAGAGGTTCAGTGCAAGCTAGAAAAAAGAGAAAATGTGTCAAAAGATCTTCTTCTTTTTTTCTTTTTTTTTTTAGGAAAGGGGAAGATGGAGAGATGTTTGTTTATTTTGATTGTTAAAAAGTGTCCGGGAAATCGACCCTTCCGGGAAAGGAACGTCCGGATATGGGACGTTACACTGTAATACATAGTCTACAGTAAATATGTAGGATAACAAACTTAACGTATCATTCCTTTGTTTATATATATATAAATTACATCGTGCACCTTTCTTGAAGTATTCATATACTCAATTTCTTTTTTTATGTCAGACAAAAACTATAAAATTAATTCTGGATTAGATCATGTAGATACAGCTTTTTTTCATTTAAATTTTTTACAAATTGTTTATAATATTTTTTATTACTTGAGACTATGTTTATCAAACTTATGCTAAGTTATACCTCCAGGAGAGACACCCTCTATGTAGCGACCTTCTCTATTTACGACCACTTTTGAGAGACACAAAAATTTTTCCATAGACTTTGTGTTGAAGAAAACATTTACAGGGTGGCCACCCACCTGGAAAATCTGGAATTATCAGGGAATTTTTTTTATACTGGAAAAGTCAGGGAAATTTTGATAAAAACCTGGAAAAATCATGGAATTTTAAAGAAAGGCTGGAATTTTTCTTAATTTGAATTATTTTACCATCCGATATATTCACTTTATTTAAACTGAAGTTTATCGTCAAGCAGTTGAAGTATCATCAACTTAGTAATACTTTGCTTGCATTCAAGTTCTTTCCATTATTACCCTGCTAAATTAGAATTTAGCTGAATTACTAGAAAATTAGTAAATTTAAGGAAATATTGCTTAAATATGAGTTTTATTTACATTGTTGTTAATATATCTTACATAATTAAAATTAGTAGTGATTTTTCAACTAACTTTTACAAGATGGAAAATTGTATAAAACACATTGATCCATCCATTCCAACAGGAAAAAGAAGGCAATTAAAAACACATTTGGGTCACTGTATTTGCTATTTGGTGCATTTTGTACAAAACTAGCACTTTGAAACATTTTTTTTTCATTAAAAGTAATGTATTTCGCAAGCTAAATATATTATTTTCTTCACATCTATTCAAGATGATACATTAAAAAAATAACAATTTTGAATCAAATACTTTATAATATTGACACTTTTCTTGTATTTACCTGCACTTTATGAGAAAAGAAAATACACTGACCTGGAAATTTTAAGATTGTTACTGGAAAAATCAGGGAAATCTGAAACCTGATTTGAGTGACCACCCTGTTATGAGAGACCATTAAAATCTTCCCCCTGCAACCATGCAAAACTTCTACACCAGATGAGGAAAAGGTCAATACAGGAAGCACGAAAAGGAGCTCTTTTTGATGATCTCTGAAAGAGATCTGCAACCTCATGTTGCAGTCAAATTGCATAAAAGACAATGATTTATTTATTTCTAAAGTTGAATGATTTATTTTTGATTTATCAATAGTTTTTATAGTTGATTATTTCATGGATTATTTTTTGAGTTGAAAGTTAAATTAGAAAGAAAAGTTTATTTTATAAAAAACTAAGCATCTCAAACAAATAACTGCTTCTCATCTTTTAAAGGTAACTAATTGTTATGACATAAAATCAAAGCCAAACTTAAAAATATAATTTATTTATTCATTTAAAATAGTTCTATCATTCATAATTGGTAAATTTGTTTTTACACATCATATCGGTATGGGTCCTTTCTATTGATGCTACATTTTATTTATCATTTTTCATGACATCAGCACACATGGTATTTCTGTAACAAGAAAATTACACTTACTGTAATTTAGAATAATAGATTTAATATACCATCAAAAATCAAGACACTAAGAAGGTTTCATTTTTTTTTTTTAAGAAACTTTGAGAAAGTTTATTCAACAATTGATTGAATTTTGTAGATATAATTATAATTGAAATATAATTAAATTAATTCTTAACAATTCATATAAAACTGTATTACATTACTAAAAATTGTTTTATGATTAATGCAAGATTCAAAATGACTGTAGATAGAAAAGTAATCGTTTAACAACTAATTGTTTAAAATCATTTGCAAAAAATCATGTACCTTTGATAACATTTTGAAGTCGACGGAGGTAACCTTTAAGAATACCAATCTCCATTTAACAACCAACAGTGCAGAGATCGGTCACTCCCGAGAAGTTTCACTGTATATCAGGGATGATTGTATTCTGGATGTACTCCGGAATTCCAGGGTTTTCGTGTAATCTGTCCAGGTCTAGAAACTAGGAGCAGGGAGTGTGATTTTTTGCAGAATTCCGCGTATCTGAAGACTACTGATTTGCGTAAGTCCGCAAATTATAAGTCCGCAACTTATAATCCAACGGAATTTTCACTGCCATCAAAAATCTAAAGTAAGAATTAAGTTCTACAATCTAAAATTTAAATTTTGAAACTTTCGTTAAATTGCGTTAACAAAACAAGCTACTCTTCTGTAATGTTATTTGTTTATCGGATTTTTATCGTTTTTAATATTTGAAACTATGCCCTATTCCGCTAATATCGCAATTCATAACCACGCAATTTAATATCGATTTTCGTATTTACCTGAATTAAATCATTCATTGTGAATCATATTCAGGCGATTTAAAAATCTTACATCTTGATTCATATTCACGGGATTTAAAAATCCAACATCGCAATTTATGTTTACATATTTTTAAAATCAATATCGCGATTCCTCTTCATTCAAATTTAAAATCCAATATTGCTGGACATATTTACAGGATCTAAAAATCGTGCATCGCTATTCGTATTTACGCGTTTCAAAAATTCGGTATTGCGATAATTATATCCAATAAATTTTTTCTAATATTGTGTTAATATAGCCAAAGCAAAATATATCAATACAATTATTATTTATATGTACCACGGGTGATTGTGGCAGGAAGTGGAAAACCCTGAAAATTTTATGAGCAAAAACTCAATAACAAGATATCAATTTAGGTACTATTCATATTTAATATAATTTTTTGAACTAAGATTTCTAATTAAATTACCTTTCAATAAAACACACTTTTATAGTAACAAATTTAAGAAAAATTTAGTTCTTACAAGAATCATGATATCGGATTTTAAGAATGCGAAATCTCAAATCACGATAGTGGGTTTTGAAATCGTGTGAATATGAATCACGTTATTGGATTTAGGAAGGCAATAATACGTGTAAGCTGCTGACTAGATAATATCTTTTCTTGTTTTATTTTCCAACTTTTATTTATTTTTCTTTTATAAAAAATCTTCATATCTTTTTCCATATTTTATCTATATTTTTACTTATATATTATATATATATGATTTATTGTGATTTTCAGTCATGACTGTTCTAAATTATTTTGATTGTTTATATATTTTTTCAGGTAATAGAGGAAAATGTAAATAAAGAATAATCAAAGAAAATTTTGTAATATTTTCATTGAATGTAAATAAATGCTATTCTTTGCTTATTGGCAGCTCTCTAGCCGATTTATTCCATTTATTGATCTCTCTGAAATTAAAACCTGATAGTGAACAAATATCTAAAATTACCTTTTCTATAAATTTTATGGCATTTGGTTGTCATTACAATGGCCCAGGAATCTAATTCCAGTTAAGGCTTACAGCCCAAGCAGATTCAGTTTGATAGGATGTAGCCTTCTATGTAGAAAAGGCAACCGGTCTGCTATGCATGCGATGGTCTGAAAATTGAACTTCAATGGAACTTGTACTTCCATGACACTAACTAACAAATTGGCCATAGTGATAGTGCATACTGTGATTGCTGATTATTTTCTAATATCAAACATTCCAGTTATTACAGTAATTTTCAGTAAGGCTGCCCCCACGAAAAACATATCTAAAATTTTTTATTATCGCATACCTGCACTTCCAATTTTAGCCACTATTACGGAGAAAACAGGCATTTTAAGCACAAGAAGGTAAGAAATAAATTTTGACAGTGGCGTATCACATATGAATTCGAACTAAAATTCTTCCCAGCCTAAAATATGTGTGCTCAAACTGTCATGGACAACTTTGGAAGCACTAACATCACAATGTAAGAAGAAAATCGAAACTGCTAACTGGCTGCAGTTTAAAGGATAGGAATGGGAGTAAAACACTGCGTGTTGATCTTACAACGCTAGTGTTCCATCAATAAGAACGTCAAGAATTTTTTCCTTTTCTCTTTTTTTTCAACCAACGTTCTTCGACCCCCCATCTATTCCTAAAAATAAGTCCCTTGTATAAGGGATGGAAGTGAAACACACTGTTCCAATCATGTGGCTCTCATGACCTCATCAATAAAGCAGTGATAATTTTTTTTCTCTTGACAAATGTGCTTCACCCAATTATCCACTCCAGAGGTCAATCTCTTACAAATTTGAGTTTCAATTTCTTCATCGTGTAATTTTTTTGCTTCATGTGATTGTTTTAACCTAGAAAACATATTGTACTAATCCCTAAAACACAGGCTCAAGTTGTAAATTAGATATTGTTGCATAGTTGACACTGTACAGTCCATCATCAATCAAAAACTTGCCTTACCCTGCCATATTTTAATTAAAAAAAATATATTAGTACAAAATTCGAAAAATATACTTTTTCTGATATTGACTTGCTATTTTTAAAGGGCAGTCAGGCAAAGTTGAAATAAAAAAAATTTGTAACATTTAGATACTATTTAAATTTTTAAAAAAATACTTCAGGATATATTGGACAAATAATATTTACCAAATATTTTTGTATACTTCTTTTAAAGTTCCCTTGATGCTCTGTGATGTTTAAATCTATTCATTCATAAAAAAGGTAAATATATACCAGGGGTCTGTTTAGAAGAATTGTGGGTCCTTAACGGACCCTTCACAAAACTTATCTTTTTATCAGAACCTTCAAAAATTTGTTTATCTTCATTATTGTTTTGTTAATCGAATAAATCTTTCCTGGGGGGGGGATACGGTTCCAGGCAAACTAAGTTTCCCAAAGTTTAAATTCCAAATGTAGTTTTCTAAAAAAATATTTCTACTTTTACATACATCGCGTGCACATTCTTATTAATATTAAATCATATTTTTTTTTGTAAATAAATAATTGATCAATTTATATTTATTCATAAAATTAATTGAACATTATGTAAATAAAAATTTCTGGCAATTTTTTAAATAATTATAAATTTATGAATTGCTTAAGTTTACTTAATGCCTAACACATTAAAAGTGATACATTACTAAGTTGTGTTATTTAGCATATGTCAATTGAAATTATTAAGAATGTGAGTGATTTTGTTTCCATTATTCATCCGAAATCAATATTCTGTGTTGAGCAGTCTAGGCTAGATACCAAATATTTGTATGTTGCATCTCTAATTTAGTAGCAGCAATTGTTGAGCAGAATCTTATATCTATTTACCATTTAAAAACTTCTTTAAAAGGTTTTTAGCAATAACAGGACCCTATTTGCACAAATTCCCAAAAGCAGGACCCTGGTTGAAAGAATGTAACTTAACACTTATCTTATATTCACAAATTATGAATAGTTTTTTTACAAGAACAGGACCTTTCACAAAATGTCTGGACAGACCCCTGTATACGATATATTATATATAATTTTTTAAGATTTAATGAAATTCCTTTATTTCATAATCTCAGGAAAAATCTAAACATTAAATGAATCTAGAAAATACAGGGTTTGCCCCCCTTCTTGGCAAGCACACTGTTTCAGAGAATGGAATAAAACTTAGTGTTAAGGTATATTTGAAACACTTGAGTGTGATATTACAGGATGAGTCTGTTGTAACTTAAAACACATATTAAGACTTATTGCCACTGACAATAACTCATTGAGAATACTTCCATGTTGGTACCTGTGCAGCCTGATTTTTGTACTTTTGCAATAAATAAAATAAAATGCAATGAATAAAAAAATACACCCTATATATATGCAGAATGGCTTTGAATCTGTTCCAGTCTATGATCTTTTTTCTAGCTTTTTGAGTGCTATTTTTTACCCAGTTGTCGCCAAAGTTTAGCAGCCATTGATACCAACACCAGAAAATAAAGACCAATATTTGGTCTTTATATATAAGGTTATTATTTTTGGGGGATTAAGACCAGTATTTGGTCTTTATCCACCTAACAGACATAACTGAAAAGCTTCTTAAAGTTGTAAAGATATCGGTAAAACTATTTAACTTTAAATAAAGAGTAAAAAAAATATTGAAAAATTGCAATAATAGAAGAAAAAGGCAAAATTTCTATCTAGTCAATGTCAACTAGCTTTGTGCCACACAGTATTTAATATGATCAGTGTTTTCACTACAGTGCGAAAATCTCGCTTATTTTTTTCTTTTCTCGCATTAAAAAATTATTAACGTGAGAAGATCGCACACTCTATTAATCAATTTCAAAATGAGCGAATTTTGGAAAAAAATTCATCTTCTGCCATTTTGAATAAAATCCGTTTCACTTTTCTCCCTTGATCTTTCATTATTTTCAACATCCATCCCTGTTATCTAGCTTCCCTATTTACCAGTATTGTTCAGAACCGGTGCGAACAACAGAACAGAACAGTCATCATAGGTATGTGTAAAATTTTAAATATATTTTAAGTAAACTAAGAAATATTGAGAAAAAGGAAGAAAAAAATTTTTTTTTCTAATTTTTCAATTTAAACTGTTTTTTTTTTTTTAACTCAAGAAATTTTCCGGAATTTTGACTTGGTCTCACAATCACCCCTGAAAATATGTTGTATTACTGTTTTTCTTTTTCTTATACATGTATATAACACCTATATAATTTTAATTTATTATAAAAAGTGTCTCATGCAAAGTGAACCCATGCATCATATGCTATTAGGGGTGCTTCCCTATAATAAACTTATTGTTTGTGTGCTTTTGAACCAGTAAAATGTTCAATTTATGCTTTCTAAATTATTGCATAAAAATAGATTCAGTAATAAGTGTTAATCGTAATTTAATGATTTGGCATCAAAGCTCGCCAAATTATTAATTTACGACAGAACACTTATATCTCTACCTTATTTTATTATAACAATTATTAGAAAACATAAAATTAAATTTTAGTTAAATGAAAGTAGGATTCAATGGCACAAGTTCATATTACACAACATACAATGATAATTCCAGTCATGGGTTTCTATACAATTATCCTTATGTAAGAATTAATTTCTTATGTCCCATATATTATAATTATTTACAATTAGAAACAATGATTTTTAACAGCTTTTTGATTAGTGAAAACTTCAAACATTGATCTTGATCAATGTTATGTTTTTAAACATAATACTAAATTGTGAAAAGAGAAGAGAATTGTAAAAGAAAAGAGGAACATTAAAACATCTATATAAATAATTAAACACAAATATAGTGCAAAAGTTTTAATACATGATTTTTCATTAAAAAACCTGACCAACATTCATAACACAATATGTGAAATACATAAAATACTCCATTAGTTTTTAAATTACTTCTAATAGTATGTATAATTGATACAAACAGTATTATATTCTATTTTACATTCACAGATACTTCTAAGTTTCTATGTACACTTGTATACAAAAATTGTTCATCATGCTATTTCATTATACCTTTGTTGCATTGATTTTCTTACGGCATCTTTATATGAGTCACTGGCAGTTGCGCCATATGCAGCACCTTTCATACCTAAACCAGCAGATTTAACTCTCCGTTGCACTTCTATTATACCAGACATACCCTGACCAGATTTTCCCAAACCTTGTCCTTCACTCCACCCCATTGCCTTTAACATTTTATTACCTATATTGTCACTTCCAATAGCTTCAACAGGTTGTTCTACTGGCTGAAATGCTTCTTTCCGTTCCTTTAAATATCTAGCTTTCAAACGGCTAGGTGGTGGCATATCGGGCTGCCCGAATTTTTGCCTCCTTTCCTTTGCTCGATCTCGATAACCAGTTTCTTTTTTCTCGAGTTCCTGTAACTGTTTTGGAGTTAATTTAGTTAGTTTTAACATGTCTACATTTTGTTTGTGCAGGTCAGATAACTGAACATGTTTGGTGAGGACTTCCTTCGATGGAAATTGTCTTTTACACAAGAGACAAGCTAGTTTTTCCCAATCAATTAGCTTAGCTTCTTCGAATTTCATTAATTCTTGTGCTTTAGTTCCTTCATCTTGCAGATCTCCTTCAACTTCTGAATCACTTTCTTCACCGTAAGCAGCAACTAATGCTGTCAAGGTCTTCTCCTTACTTTCACTAGAACAAGCAAAGTTCCCATTGAGTGCATCTTTCACGAGGACAAAGTCCTCGCTCTCAATCTCTATTTTTTTCTTTTCTGAAACAAACGTTGGGTCAAATAATCTTGATGGCATTTCAACTGGTTTTTGTACTGATGATGTAGCATTTAGAAGTTTAGAATTTTCTTTCTTTTGGTTCAATGTTTTAGCCCATTTTTCCATATCTTTAGCTACTTTTTTGGCTATTTTCACTTTATCCTGAGGATTTATTTTAATCTTCGGTTTATCTGTAGTACTTTTTTTGGCAGTCAATACTGGAGCATGAGCTATAACAGGTGGACTAGTTATAACTGCGTCAGAAGTTTTTTCAACTTTGACTGCAGATGCTTCAATAACAGCAGGGGCAGATGTAGTATAATTTTCCGTCGATGGTACAGACATGTAGGTCTGTTTTTCAATGTCCCAATATAAATATTGTCTTGTTTCTGAATTGTAATAATATTGGGAATTAGGATCATAATAATATTTAGTAACAGAGTCATAATAATATCCTGAAGTTTCATCGTACTGATAAGTCGATATATCGGGTGTGTTTTGAAACCCACCCGCCGAGCCAGAATTCAAACTTTTAACAGATTCCATCTGTTTTTCCTTTAACACTGAATCAGAAAACATATTTTTGCTTGAAGCATTGTAACTTGAATTTTGATTGGTCCACTGTGCAGCAGCCAAAGCTACACTAGCAGCATTTGCACTAGCCTCAGTATTCATAACACTAAGTGGTCTCTTGGAGTATGAAACTGTTACTCTTCGTCCATCAACGAAAAAATTTCCAGTCATCGATAACAACAAGTCGTATAACTGCATTGCTTCAGAAATTGAATGAAGTTCAACGTATGCAAAACCTCTTGAAGTATGAGTAAGAGTATCTTTAGCAACTTTTAAATTCTTTATGGGAAGAACTGTGATTTGGCCAAGCATAGACAGAACACGTTCTTCAGTTGTTAGGATATCTAAATTTCGAAAAAGTAATGTATTGGATGGGGTATTGCCAATTTCTTCAACACCTTCTCCGCCAAGATTGTTCAACTCTGCTTCTTCTCTTGGAGCATTGCACTTAAAACACAGATCTCGCTTACGAAAGTTGTTGACACCACATTTGATACATGTCCAATCAACCCTATTAGAAGAACTTCTTTCGCTTGATGAATCTTTTTGAAGATGATAATGTAATGTAGCTGGCGATGGACCAAAGTATAAAATCCCCTGAGTAAGTTCTTTCCACCTCACGGCATCAGATAACATTCTAAATTCAACAAACGCATAGCCTTTGGATTCGCCAGTATGCTTTTTTCTAGGTAGAACTATTTCTTGAGGATATAGAGTATTTCGCACTGCCTCATTTTTAATATCTTCTTCAGTAATATTAGGAGGAATTCCTAAAATTAATATTGTATTGTTAGGAATATCATCCCGAAACTCAGGTTCACGATCTGCTTTATCTCTATCTCGATATCTGTCACGAGATCGGTCTTTCGCGCGATCTCTGTCGCGGCTTTTCTCTCGATCCCGACTTCTGTCACGATCTCGACTTCTGTCTCTATCTCTACTTCTATCACGATCTCGACTTCGATCTCTGTAACGCCTTTCATAACGACTATCGGAATCCCTGCTTCTTCCACGATGAGATTCATCTGATTCTTTTGAGTCTCGATAACCTTCATAGTTGCGACGATCCTCGCTGTAAGATGACCGAGAATAATCATCTCGATCTCTTTCGTGTCTAGATTCTCGACTTCTCTCATGACGAGTTAATTCTCGATAATCGACATCATTCCGAGAAGAATACCGAGGACGGCTGTCATATTTTGATTCACGTTTTGGAAAATCGTCGTCAACACCAGGTGGAGGGGGAACAGAAGAATCGTTTTTACTTTTATAAGAGTAACAGGAATCCATCATTTATAATAATAGTTCAATTAATACAAGATATATTTATTTCTATCTTAAATAAAACAGGGCAGTTAAAATAATATATAATGTTCCAATAGTTTGTAAATATTGAACAGTTTCCTAGGCCTATCCAAAATGTCGATAAATATCAAATACATTGTTCATGAGATATATTTTTAGAGAGCCATTTTTTATGATGCATTTTATGCACATTATTTTAATGTTTTTATAAATAAAATATGAATTAACAGGATTAACTTTCAGTGCAACAAAAACAACAGGACGCACAATATAAACAAATATTAAAGCGATGAGATATGTAAAACATTGCAGTTAACAGTTAAGTTAATACAGTTGATATGTGATAGCTTTATTCTAACTGAAGCACCGTTCACAGTGTAAATAAAACACTCGCATAGGCGAATTCCGAGATGCAAATGGGAACTTTTGATTGATAAAATGCATTTGCTCACTAAAAATCTCGCAAATCAGGTTCACATGCAGTGTTGTCGTCGCCCTAGAACTGCACAACGGGCTATTGGCGGCGGTCTGGGAAAAATCCCCGAGGATGATCCAAAGACAACATACATGTGTCACATCCCGCATTACAAGGAGGACACATTCGCACACCATCCATCCATCCTGAGATCGTAATTTTGACCTGAACCAGAGAACGATCAATTTCCATTCCAGTACTCCCAGAGGTATTGATTTATTAATTGAACTTGGAGGAATTTGTGACCCTGACAGATTTAGCATGCGCAAGTCTTCATTTTGTACACGGGGAGTAATCGGCTGGTAGACTTACCTCTCAGGCAAGGGTCCCAGTGCCCTACCAGCCTTCCTCTCCAATGTAAAGCAAATATTTTAGGTAGGCACTTTATTTCATCGCACTAGAGTTGCAAAATGATTTTAATTTAGACATGCCATCACTATTTTCCTCTACAAAGAACACAATATTAACTGTTTAAGAACTTTACTTTAAAAACGCTAATTAAAGTGCAGCAGAAAATATATTCAGTTGTGAAATCAGCTCGCAAACTGCTATCGATGGAAGTTGAGCTATGGATTTTCAAATCAACCATATCGTTGGACTTAAAGCACATAAAAGTGAGCTTTTCAGAACACTCACTGCAAAAAATCGCATGGGGTAAGATTTGGAGATCGTGGTGGCCAAGACAAAAATGCAATCTGCGGGAGATACACAACCTATTTAACGGTATAGTAATTGGTGTAGCATTGCCTTTCTGTCTTTATTTTACGCAAAAACGCTGATTACGATTGGACGACAAAACTCGGTAATGATTTAACCTCTGTATGTTTAATCTTTAGGACACCAAAAAAAAAAAAAAAAAAAAAACTGACAGCCGGGAATGATTTTTGATCCAATGATCGGATCTTCACTTTCTAGAACTCATTCTTGATGGATCAATCGAACCATTAAGAATGAGTCGGGAGAGTTTTTTAGCATTATTGAGGTCATCCCTTCGAAGGGGTGACCTCAAATTTTTTTTCAACGGATTAAGATTTCTAATCCCCAAAATATGGGGGGCAGCCGCGCAATCTGGGCTCAGGGAAATATCGGATAGTTTGTCAGGTGGAGGGTGAGCTCTCCAAAGTTTGGACCCCTAAATGTTACTTATACTTTTTGAAAATTTCGCTATACATCGAGAACTTTTTAAGCAAATTAAAATTTTTTTACACACAATTATAAAATTTGTTTATCTAAAGATAATTCCACGCAAAAAATAACTTTCTGTAAATATTTTTTATTTAAGAATGATCGAATAAAATTTGAATTGTTGGTACACAAATTTTCGTATCATTTTAAAGAAAAATTAGAAATTATTATTTATCATTTTAAAGATTTATATAGCAAAATCGATCGAACAGTTTCAGAGAAATCGAATTTTAGGTGTCTGACTTTTTTGAAATTAGATTTCATAGAAACTATAAGACCGATTTTCCACAAATTTTGTATTTTGCTTTATAAAATTACATTCTTTCAAATGATGTAAAAAATTGTATACCATACAATTCAAATTTCTGCGACCATTCTTAAATAAAGCAATAAATAATTACTGAAAGTTATTTTTTTGCATAGAATTATCTTTATATAAACAAATTTCATATTTGCGTGGAAAATTTTTTTCGATGCGCTTAAAAAGTTCCCGAGACATATCGAAATATGTAAAATTAACATTAAGGAGTCCAAACTTCCGAGCTCTCTCCTGACCCAACAATTGGAGTCATATTTCCCAGATTGCTCATTCTTATAAAAAACTAATTTTTTTGAATTATGTTTTTTTGTAATATTCAATTTATTTTTTATAATTATTCAACAGAATTAAACAAAATTTTTAGGACAATTTAAAATTTGAGAAAAAATTCTTTTATAACTGCCCCAGCTATAAGCAGTTACTTTTGAAAATATTTTTCCTCTTAATTTTGCAGTGAATCGTATTTGTTCACTGATAAAAAAAAAAGATTTGAATATCTTAAGAGTTTAAAATGTTTCAAGCAATTTAATAAGGAGCTTTTGTACTTTTTATTTAAAAAAAAGCTCAAAATGATAAGGGGTTTTCCACATATCTCATTTTATACTAAACAAGATTTATTTAAAATGATACTGGCATTGTTGGGGATTAAGCTCCATAAAAATATCTTTTATTTTTCACATGCTTTCTTTATTTATTAAATCACATTTTGGTGTGTGAACATTTATTGTACGGTATTGTCATTAAATTCTGTCTTATGATACAAATAATATTTGTAGAAAACCTTTTATCATTTTGAGCTTTCTTTTAAGTACTCAGAAAATTGCTTGAAACTTTTGATTTTTAAGATATTCAAAATTGTTTTTATGAAAAAAATACAATTGTATTTGGCTTATTCTTATTATACTGAGTTATTTTATTCATACTGCATATATTAAGTTACTCTTTTTACACTGCACATGAACATAAAAAAATTGAAAATTTTTTCTAAATTTTGTAGTGAATCATATTTTGCAACTAATTAAAAAAAAGTCAGATTTGAATATCTTAATTTAAAAAGTTTCAAGCAATTTTCTAAGCAGTTTTTTAAAAAATGCTCAAAATAAGGGGTTTTCATTAAAAGTTATACTGGCAGTGCTGGGGAATATCCCCCCTAAAAGTATCTTTTTTTTACTTGCATCCTCTCTTCATTATATCACATTTCGGTGCATGAACATTTATTGTAAGGTATATCATTTGTTATTAAATTCTGCCTTATGATACAAAATATTTGCAGAAAATCCCATATAATCTTGAGCTTTCTTTTAAAGAATATGAAAACTACTTAGAAAATTGCTTGAAACTTTTTAATTCTTAAGATATTCAAATCGTTTTTTATCATTTGTTACCTAATACAATTCACTACAAAATTAAAAATTTTTCCCTCAAGCATGAGCAGTATAAAAGAACTACTTTAATTACTTGTATCTTGCACAGTTTTAAAACAAATTTTTCTCAAATTTCTAGAGCAAAGATTTTATACTGTTCTAAAAAATGTGTGCAATTTTATTACATAAGTCATAGCAAAAAATTAGTTTCTTTTTTAAACTGTCACAAGTTACAAATCTATTGCTACATTTCATGGCAACATTTTCCGTTTTCTAAACTATTGTGGATCTCTCAAACTCCTAAAAGCCTTAGACTTCATTGATATGTATGAGAAATCACACTTCTGAAGCTATAAAATAATTGGTTATGCATTTTGGGAGAAATATGAAAAAATGTATTAGTATGGAAGTGTTTCCATTATTTTGTCGATCCTTTGTTTAGATGAATTAACGATTTCAAGTTAGAAATCACACCATCAATTTACAAACTTGACTAATTTTTAAAGAATGTTATCAGAAAAATTCTACATTTTCTTTGTATTGGTTTTCTTTATATCTAGGTGAAAAAAAAATCCTTAGAAACAAGCAACAGAATAAATATTAAAAATATATAATCATAAAATAGGCAAGCATGTTTTATTTACAAATAAACAGTTTCTATTTTAATTTACAAGTTTTAAGTGGACTAAAACCAATATACCAACAATTGAGATTACTAGCATTTAAAATAAACATTATTATAAAATTCAAAATAGCTAGATATAAAACTGAATACGACGTTGTGAATATTCCAACAAAATTACAAACAAGTTTATTTTAAGTTTTATTTTTGAAATATCATACAGAATAATAATGAATAACAAACAAAACTCAATTTACAAAAAATAAAAATTTCGCATTTCTTCAACTTTTTAGTTCTCAGATACTTTCATCATAAATTTATGACACAACACTTCAGGAAAAGTCCAATATTAGTTATAATTTCTTTCTTACAGCCAGCGAATTTTTGCACAAAATTATAATTGTCTCTATAAACATCTATTGTAATTGAGACTAATAAATTAGGATTTAATAACACTTAGGAAGATATTTGATTGAAACAGAAAAACATCCATCAAAATATTTATAATGTATAGCAAGTTTGGCATTTCAAATTGATAATATACATGATTTTCATACTATATACAATTTTAGGATATTGAAATGTAACCTCATAAATCTAGACACTCATCAAGTTCAATAAATATGAAAATTGTTCAATGATAGAAGATCTAGGTAAATAAAAATAAACAGTAAGTAGCAACTATAAATCTTATTTTGTACAAAATTATACAATTCTCATTATACAAAAATGATTGTTTGGTACCAAATAATAATGGTGAGACTAATAATAAAAGTTTCCATACCATTTTTTTTTTTTTTTTTTTTTTGGCATTGGACTTGGAAAAAAGCCCTTCCACTGTGAATTATTTCTCAGAATGTAGTTTGAAAGATGAAAGGCACAGTGAAAATAACATAAGCTTTAAACTAAAATAATTTTAGTAAAACTGAGCAAGATTGGGAGAGAGAATAGGTTCTCGCAAGAATAAAATAGGATTTTCATGAAAACACACTTTAAAAACCCTCATTTAAAATACTGAATAAATACAAATATATCATAAATAATTCGAAACTCAAACGTAATAAACATAAGAAATAAATGAATTAAAATTCTAAATTCACAGGACAGTAAAAGGAGCATTGAATGCATACAACTCAAAAATTTAATAACAAGTTTAATAATGTTCTATACAGAAAGAACAGAGGAGATAATCACGCAAATAACAGCCACGCAATAAACACTAATGCGAGATAAAGGAATAATTTAGATAAAAGCTGATCTTCCTCATATTCTGGAGTCCCAGGAGCTAAAATAAACAAATCAAATCTTATAATTCATTGACATCAACAATTTTCTAAAATGATTTTTTTAAAAACTTTTTTTCATTGCTGTTAATACAAAATTTTCAAAACATTATAAATAACCATACGCTTTAGAAATAGTAAAAAATTATTAGTATAATGTCTAAAAATATCTAAAATATATCTGGCTAACAAAAGCATGAATAAAAAAGTTAAAAACATAATGAGATAAATTAAAAATAAAAGCATAAGACAATTTATGGAACAACAAAGTTCTATTTATATTGCAAGGTTATTACAAATAAGTGTGCTTTTATAAGAAAGAACTGCTTCTTTAATGTAGTTTGATTCATCACAGCAGTGACAGAATAATTGGCAAAAATTCAATTATGCTATCTTTCCGTTTCAAGTAGTAATATTGTAGCACATAATACAGTACCATAAAATATACTGATTTTAAAAATTTGCTTTTCATAATTTTTGATGAAACAATTTTATTAAACTTGTTAAACTTTACTTAGACTTAATAAAGCAGCATAAATGTGTAATTGTAATATTATTCTCTAGCAAGGTGCATAGCCATATTTTACAACAAAAAATAAGCACCCTTTAAGTACTTTTTAAGCACTTAAGAAATATTGTTAATCACTTTACGTAAAAAATAAATAAATAATAGTTAGGACCTGTGCAGTAACGAAAATTCCCCCCTTTCTATCGTAAAAAATTCTTAATTTATAAATATAAAATCAATAAAATTCAAAAACTTAACATAATCATGATAAAATAACTAGTTTCTGATAAATATTGCAGAGAATGTAATTTAGAACGACAAATGATACAACAAATTATTATTTTTTTAAAAAAAGATATTAAGGACCTTTTACAAACCCTGAATAAAAAAAAGCACCTTTAAAGAGCTTTTAAAAAATGAAAAATAAAAATAAACACCTTTAAGCACTTTTTAAAAATGCTATGTACCCTGTCTAAAAGTTTTCTTAGTTCTCTACATAAAGAAATCTGCAGCTAAAAATTTGAAACATTTTCTAATAACTACATAACATAAAAACTATACATTTACAATGGCAGTGGTTACGAAACATTTGAAAACACTACTGAAATATTAACAAATTAAGTAAATGAAAGCTCATAATTATGAATAAATGAGAAATTTAAATCTTTGCTTTGTAATTGAACTTATAAAAAATCATAAATTATTAAAGTTAAATGCAATCAACATTTAAAATAATTAGCTACTGACATTAGATTTGCTACAACCATATAATGGTGTGAGTAATAGAAGCATTCTTACTGGGTGCAGCACGATGATCACCTAAATTAAAAGTGGATGCAAAAAATCCAAATGGGAAGGCACCAATTCCAAATGACATATGAAAGCCACCTTCACCAATTCCAAATCCGGGAAATGTAGGCTACAAATAGAATTTTTTTTTAATAAATTAATAAAAATACAATAATAAGCCATTAAAAGAGAACAGTGTATTTAGTAATTGGCAAATTTGTATAAAATAATAAGTAAAATAATTTAAGCTATTTTTTTTTATTTATTATTATTTGGTTAAACTTATTTATTATGAGGTAATAAGATTCAATAATACAGAATAACTTATGCTTAAGTAACTTATTAAATTACATTGATTTCATTTCTGTACTATCCAAGTATTTTGAATTGAATGTATTTAATTATTTTCTCTAGAAGTACAAACATAATTTGTCTTACATAAAAATGTAGAACAAATATAAAGATAGATTGCAATATTTTTTGCTTTCATTTGAAATTTACTATTTAATAATACTATATGAGAAAAGGGCTAATTAAATAATATTAGAAATAATAATCTTTTTTCATATTACAAAAAAAAGAAAAGAAAAAAAAGGTATTCAAAAAAATAAAATTAGTAATTTTGGTAGTAAAAAGGACAAAATTACTAATGATAATGCTACATTAATTACAAACAAATATAATCTTGCTTTTAGCAAATAGTTAGATTCAAGTATAAAAAACTGATCTATCACAACAATTTATAAAAAATTATTTTAAATTGATTAACAAACGTTCATTACTTTTATTTTATAATAATTTTTTAAAATGCTGTACCTAACAAAATGCTAACATGTTGGGAATCACAATTTGAAGCGAAAATTAATTATATCCCTCCTATGACTAATTTCTGTTGTCTAAATTAACTGGCAGAATTATGGCTCACAGGCCCAAAAGTTTTAAGCCCCAATCTTAAGGTTTGCTAAAGGAACCCAGCTTAAAAAAAAAAATGTTTTTTTCTTTTAACCCTACTTTTTTCTAAGGAGGGTATTTTTAAAATTTACAAATCAACAAGTTTTACTTTTAAAACAAAATAATTAGTAACTATTGTTACTTAAACAAAAACTTCCAAACAATTCAAGATAAATTAAATTGATATATATATATATGCATATCATACATAGATATCAAGCTGAAATGCACTTAACTTATTTAAGGACATTGTTTTTATGATCGAAAAGTGAGGTTTCTGTTTCCATAAAGCACTTATTGTAGATTATGGCTCGTAAAACATTAAGCATATTTTTTAATTTATAAGAATTTATTATTTTATTTTTATAAATCAAATTATCATTACAAATGCTGAACTTTTGATATGATATTTTGAATATCCGGGCAGGATTGCAGCGATTTAAATTTTAATTACATCAATTTACATTAGTTATTAAAAATTATCAGTTTTTATGAAATAAACTAATTTTTATTGCTCGAAATTTTTTTAGTTCAGTTCAGTTTTATTTCATATTTAAAAAAAAAAATTGTGAAAAAAAAAGTTTGCGATATAAAAAAAAAAACTTTGAAAGAATAAGTTTTCATATTTAATTACTAGGAATTTACTAAATATTCAGTTGTAGGTCAATCTAGCTAAATATTCGGTTAGGCCAGATAATTTGCATAAAAATAAAGATTATAATAAAATGATGATTACAATAAAATTATTCATTTATTAGGGTACATTAAAATAATTAATGCTAAAAAAATGAACCAGAACTTAGAGATTATGCTTAACCATGCTATGATAAATTAAGAATCACACCTCAGGTTAATATTCTTTACAATGAATAATTTTTATTAGAAATCTTATGGTATGAAAAATGCAATTAATTATACTTAAGAAAAGTTATAATTTTTGAACCAAGATGTTTTTAATATAATGTCAATATATAGTGGGGGACGACGACAACAACAATTGCCCAAAATGTTTTGTTTCTCGATGTAAAATTTTTTCAATGCTTTGTACATATATATATATATGGGCAATTCCATATGTGACGGAATGACATTTTGACTTGCAAAATAACAATTAATTGAAGTTTCTATGTATCTAATTTGAAATAAAATTTTTTTTTCTCGTGCATATCATTATTATTGGCATAATGCACTTTATAAACTAAAAAAACAGGATTTTCTATCTTTTTTACTTTTAATTTTACGAACTTTTTATTTGCGTGACGGAATGACATTTTGGCAACCAAGCTTTTGGCATGCCGCTTAGAACTGGTAGTTTCTGCGAATTTTGCAGCTATTATTTTTCTGAACTATTTTATACTTTTAGTATAATGTGTAAGCAATGTAAAATGTGAATTTGGAAAATTAACCTCAGGTTGGCTAGCAGTTATTAACATCTATTTGCTGTGACGGAATGACCGTGACGGAATGACAAAAAGTTTAGTAGAAGAAAGCCTTCATTTAAAAAATGTTTTATTAATATGTAAATGATAAACAGAATGTAACAGATAAACAGGATTAATATTTATGTAAGAATTAGTAAAAATTTCAACAGTTTGAAAATTAGGTTGTCTCTGAAGAGGTTTTATATCTAACTTGCCAATGTCACATCTTATCTTCGTTCTCAGGAAATTTATGCATTATTAAGACATGTGACGGAATGACGTAAAAGAAGTTACTTTTATTTTATATATTAAACTTAAAATGTTTAAACTCTGTTCTATATGCATATTTTTATCAAAATATTGCAATAGAAAGATACATTTCTTTTATTTTATAAGTATTTTTCAAGAAAACAATTTGAGCACAAATGTGAACAATTCACTTGTCAGCCATGTGATTACTTTAGAATGCTGCCAGATTCAAATAATTTAAAATTATCAAAAATGAAATGGCAATATGTAGACTTTGGCTATTTTAGAACATATTTTTAAAATTGAAATATGCAATTCATAAAAAAAAAATTTCAATTAAAAGTTGACACTTTTGTGGAATTGCCCATATATACATATATATATATACACATATATTATAATACATATATAAATTATTTTTTCTAAATATTATTCTCTACAATTACGATTTGATTTTTATTATTAATCGAAGCTAAGGACTTAAAACTAAAAGTGGTATTCTTTTATTATAAAGTAATCCTATAGTATTAACTAACTGAGTAAATTATAATTTTATGAAAAACAAATTGAAAAACTTTATGAAATCATATTGAAAACTGTATATAACTTAACTGTTTTGCATTTAATAGGCAGTAAGTGAGTTGTATCTACTTTTATATTATTATAGAGCATAAATAACTTAATATAAAACTTTAATAAGGAATTTACACACTATTACAAAACAATCTGGCAACACATACAGTTTAAAAAAAATACATAAAGAAAACAGTTTATTATATAGTATTCAAAAGTTGGATAGGAATTTAAAAAACAAAACTGTAAAGTTGCAATGGTAACAGCAAAATTTTTAAGCTTTAATTTTATTCTAATAGACTTGAGAACTAAACCTCTGCTCACGCAATGAAAAATTTTAGGATAATTTAATCAAGTAAATTTTATTTTATTACGAACAATTTGTTTGTCGTAAAGAAATAATAATGATGTAGCAGTCTAACTAAGTATACATACTCCTGTAGTGGATTCAGGTTCTGTTCTTTGTCCAGGAGGTCTGGGAGGTAATTTATCTCTAAAATCAATAAAATACAAAAATTTATTTATTATTCAAAGTTCATTTAATCATTCAGCAAAAGAAAGATTAAATTCGTTCAGTTGTTGTTGTTAATTTACGTCGCACTAGAGCTGCACAATGGGCTATTGGCGACGGTCTGGGAAACATCCCGGAGGATGATCCGAAGACATGCCATCACAATTTTGATCCTCTGCGGAAGGGATGGCACCTCCGCTTCGGTAGCCCGACTACCTGCGCGCGAAGTCGAGCACTTTACGGTAGCACAGTTTAACGAGGACCAATACCGCACACCCTCGGTCCCTACGCAGACTGATCCAAGTGGTCACCCACCCGCACACTGACCGTAGCCAGTGATGCTTGACTTCGGTGATCTGCTGGGAACCGTGTCTTAACGATCAGTCCACTGCGGGACTAAATTCGTTCAGAGACTTGCAGTAAAAAAGAATTTTTTTTTATTAACTATAATAGGGGTCCCACTCAATTTCAGGAAGAAAAAAAATTTCCCTGACTTTACCAGGTATATTTTATTATTTTTAGCATTAATGGTAACTTGAGTAAAATGATATGCATTCTGGGCATTGCAATTCTTCACAAAATTAACAAGCTTATCTAACACACACACAAAAAAAAAAGCATTTCTGCAATAGCCTATTGAGGGCCAGGGGGTTATAGAGGGTCAAGCTTCACAATTTCATGACCAACAGCATGATTGCGGCAATGTGATAAGCATTTTGCAGAGACCACCTTTACTTCCCAATAACCTCAAGCTGGGTGGACTTCAAGCCGCCACTGGGGATCGAACATCAGCTCTTCATAATAACAGTTCAGTGTCTAAAACACTGAGCCATTGTGACTATCACAATTATACAGCGGAACCTCTCAGAATCGACCCCTAATGCATTCTGACAGCAACAAGAGGTTGTAGATTTCTTTAAGAGATTGACAAAAAGAGCTCTCTACATAAAAATATTTTGAACATTTCAATCTACTTATTTCATAGCTGCCAACCTTAGGAATAAAAAATTGGGAACACTATATGCGACAAAATTATACGCAATAATTACGAGAGTAAGATAAAAATTTAACTATTAAATCATAACATTAATAGACATATATTTAAATATGTAAATTAGTAAAACAAAACTATAAACACTATCTTTTGTGGGAAACTTATAATATTAATGTTTTATAATTAGGAATACCGGTATAATATATTAAAAACAAACATTACCTATTAATATATAATTATTTATCTCCAAATTATAAAACACTGGTAAATAATAATCTACATCATAAACAAATATTTCTGATGCAAGTGTTTAAATACTACAAAAAAAAA